ATAAAGTCACTTGAAAACAGTAAATATAGTTAAAATAAATCGGACAGAAGTTTACGCTGACAACTCTGGCAGACCAGGTCTACCAACCCCCGATATACTCCTGCTTTGCATTTGCAATGGGAGAGGACACGTTTTAAGAAAATTTAGTTTCTTTTAATTTCACGGTATGCTATAGTATAGCACATCTACCATAGCCATAATGTTCTAACCTAACACTGCACCTAAACAAAAAAAGTGAAATTCTTGTTTTTCACAGCTTTTTTAAATGTAAAAAATTTATAGTGCTGCACTTAGGTTGTATATGGGCTTTTGCATATAGATACTATGGTAGATGTGCTATACTTTTTACAAAAAAAGTTTACAATTTCACAATTTTTCTCCAATTGCTTTGAAGTTGTTGAAATCCTATCTTACAAACCGCTTTCAAAGAACTATTATTTTTAAAGATAACATCTATAACTTTTCAAAATGGAAAATGATCTATTGTGGTGTACCTCAAGGCTCTATATTGGGACCCTTGTTGTTTTTAATCTATATTAATGACCTGCCTTTTAAAATAAACTCAGAATATACGCAGATGACACAACAGCTATATTAAAATCAAACAGCCTTAACAATTTACAAAATTTGATAAACCAAACTTTTGAAGATTTAAACAAAAAGTTCACAGCCAATGGGCTGAGTCTAAATTGTTCTAAAACTCAAATTGTCAGGTTCAAAACTACTCATGACAGAGAAACCATCGAATTAAATATTAATTTTCAGGGGGAAATTATTAATGAAACGTCATCTACAAAATTTTTAGGTATTCAGGTACAAAGCACTTTAAATTGGGATGAATACACATCAGTTCTAGCTAATAAACTAAATACAGTCTGTTTCCAGACATGACATTTTCAAAACCTAGGATATCCTGTAAATTTAGAGAATTGAAAATATTAATCTTTATAAAAAAAAAAATCTTGAATCTTTTATGAATGAAAACCATTTAACCATAATTATTTAACACGACATCAAAATGATTTACAACTGCCCATTCATAGACTTACCTCACTAGAAACCCTTCCACAATATCTAGGGAAAAAAACTGTAAACTGCCTGATAATATTAAATCATTAGAATCTTTTGAAAAATACAAAAAAGAAGTTACCAAATTGCTGCTTAATAAAGGGTATTACAAAGTTAATGATTTTTTAAATGATGTATGTATTTGATTTTTTAGCATATTGTATAGTTACTAGTTAACCGCCACGGGAATATTGTCAGCAATAAAAGAAATAATAATTAACAAATACTGTTTATCTTTGTACTTTATTTAGGGGTTGTTTAATTTTTTAGGCCTACATGAAATAGAACTGATAGTTTGCATGTATAAACTATTTTATGTTAATCAATATCAAACCGATATATTATTTTAACCAAATGAATGTTTTATATTAATTCGAGTTTCATTTGAAAAATAAATAGTATACGAACTGGGCAATCCTGATAACCTTATAAGCAGCTATTTATGCTATTTAGATAATTTTCTCAAGTATATTCCTATATTCGTCGTTTTTTTTTTTCATTACATTTGTTGTATGGAATAAAGATAGTCACTTAGCCTACATGTAAATCACGCATCAGCAGTTGGTCGCATTTCACGAATCTTTGACCACTACTGTGAGTAAAAGCTGTGATTACGTTGCATGTATATAAAGTTGTGCATACTTTGTTCAATGTTAGAGGGTATTAACGGTCCAATTTGATGGAAAAGGAGTCGAGGATTTTAAAACTATGTAGACTACCACTACCAGAAAGATGTTGATTCAAGTGAGACTTAGAACTGGCCATTACAAATGCAGATTTGTATTATATTTTACTCAAATAGTTTTTTGTCTCTTTTGACCCTTAATAATTTTTTTACAGTCGCTGTTGATAAGATTTTCCATAAACTCAAAATGTTGATAAGGAGTTCATTTTACCCTCCCCCTTGTGACAACATAAGGAAAAAATATTTGTGTCCCAGTTAGTCTGTTCTGACTTAAAAATTCATAGATTTGCAGTACTGACAAATCCAATCCAACGACCCCAATTAGAGAATAAATGGCATAGAGAATAAATTATATTGATCAAAACAATAAGTTTCCATCCCCTACTATGGGTATTATTTCACATTCCATACTCAAACTTAAACTCAATTACCACTTTCCTTCAGATCACTTTGCAGGAAAACTAAAACATTTTTGTGTCCCAGTTAGTCTGTTCTGACTCAAAATTCATAGATTTGAAGTAGTGACAAATCCAATCCAACGACCCCAATTCAAAAGAGTTGGTATTTTTTTTAGGGACTTCCAGAGCACATTTAACACCAACACTGCTCTTTACCTTTTTAGTTCGATGGTTCTCTACATTTTTTTTTCGTTCGGTATGTCTCTTTACGCCTGGTTAATGATTACCTTTTCTTTTTCTTTTTGTACTTTTCACACCCTGGGGTTAATGATGAAGTTTTATAACGCTATAATGACCCGAGTCAACATTGCCATTAAACATCAAGTCACATACTTCTTCGCCAGAACCGAATGGTAAGTCACAGTTTCTCAAGCAACTTCCCTGTGTACTTGAAAAAAAATCACTGATATATTGTAGTTCCACGTATCCCAGCGTACTCGCCATCTAGAGAAGGTAAAGTTTGGTACCACTGAACGTCTAACACTGATCTTGAGTAAGATTCGTCACCTACCTACTATAAAATGTTTGTATGTTTCCCACTCATTAGCAATTATAATATGTACAACTTGCAAGCGGATTTCCCCATGATTATTCTGGTGGCCGTAGAGAATAAATTATATTGATCAAAGCAATAAGTTTCCGTTCCCTACTATGGGTATTATTTCACATTCCATACTCAAACTTAAACTCAATTACCACTTTCCTTCAGATCACTTTGCAGGAAAACTAAAACATTTCAAAAATAAGTTAACAAATACACTTTTCTTGATCAAAATCGTGTGTTTATAAACAGAAACTCCAAGTTTAATAATTGCATACTGAAAGTGAGGTTATAAAAATAATAACAAATGTCTGACAAACATTAAACAGCTGACGAATAATTTATAAACTGTGTATTATATTCTTCAATAAGAATTGTATTGACTCGACCTTTGAAGGGCTGTAGGTCGTAGCCCTTAGAAAAAACGTAAATTCTAAGGAAGTTCGTTAAATCTACACACTATCCCCTTTAATTTGAGACATAAATCTTGTAGATCGGTCCAGTAATTACTGAGAAAACAGTGTTACAACTGTGTATTAAATATATAGATTAGAGTTTTATGTATTTTAATTGTCCATGACCATTTCACCTGTTTCCCAGCTATGCTGGATCTGTAAAACGTGTGAAAATAAATGATTGACTTGACATACCGTAAAATTAAAAGAAACCAAATTTTCATAAAACGTGTCCTCTCCCATTGCAAATGCAAAGCAGGAGTATATCTGTAATACACATTTTATACCTTATGAGCTTTTAATGCTACTGTATTTAATATCATAGAAGCAAATTGTGTAGTTGAAAAATCTGACAAAATTCTTTTATTCCTTTTGAATATGAATACTCATAAAGATAATAATATGGGAAGTTCCAAAGCCACTGGGGTGGAGCCCAAAATGATTTTTGAGATAAGGATGCGTCTGTATGTTAATCGGGAATGTGAGCTATCATCACACCAAATTTCAGCCCAATCCGACCAGTATTTTTCGCGTTTACTTGTCACAAACATCCATCTAAACTCTCTTCTTGAATTTGTGGTAGCGTATTAACTAGAGCAAAAATTATCTGATTTTGATAAAATTTCTTGAACGAGTTCGCGAACCAGCATAATCGAACCATGGGAACAGGGGTTTATGGGGGGTTTAATGGGAAAAAAACTTTTCCCACTTTTCACCCTAAAACCACCAAATTTTTTAATTTCTTGATTTAAATCATTTTAAAGAGCTTAAAAATTAAATAATTTTGTATATTGAAGCGTTGTTGTATGCCTAACAATTAAGAGATAATTTACAAAATTAAAAATTCCCATGTTATTCTTATGGGAAATAAATAAACTAATTAACTGTTGTAGTTGGCTTGTTTATTTTATACCAACCTATCAACATATCAAATAAAGAACACACCTTAATACCTACCCTGTAGCAGCGAACCTAAGTAAGTACTCACTAAAATTAATGTTATTTTAATAAGAAATAAATTTTAAGGGAATATTTTGGTAGAAATCCAGCCAGCCAGGTAAATGGAAACTTGCTTAGTCTACAGGTTTGCTGCGGTGGGGGTATTTAAACATTGCATACTTTATTCAACTTGGGCAAACACAACCTTCACCCACTTCCTCCTCTTAAAAAATTGTAAATGTTATTCCTGACAAGTGCAATGTGGGTGGGAACACATAAAAATTTGAAGTTTTTTTCAAATTTTCCATCTAGAATATACCTAGAAATAACTTACTTTTTCCATAGTAGCACTAATAGATAATCTTTGTAACTATGAAGGTGATTCTACAGAGATTCTAAATAATTGAATTTGAAAGTGCGTGTTGTGGAAAGTCTGCGTTTTATTAAATGATTTTAAAATGTGTTTTTATCTAATGGCGTTTATTTCATAGTGCAACAGGAAAACAAATATCTAATTTGATCAAAACCCTGCTGTTTAAAATTAGGTCTGAAATTAGCCTAACAAATATTGACCTAGTAACACTTTTGACCTCTTTATGTGTTTTGCATGGTAATGTCCTTTTTAAAGATATTTAATGTGCATTATACGTTGTCGAATAACTCGGAATAGAAATACAGACAGTATAATAATATTACACTTTTGAAATTTGAGGAGGCCTATATAATTGATGACTTATAGCTTTGACTATTAAGACAACAACATAGTATAAATCTTTCTAACGAAAAATTAAAAACTTAATTTCTCAAGGAAAGAACGAGAATCACACATAGGGTTGAAATTAGAAGTGTATTGGTGCAAAATGTCAATATTTTAATACACCAGGAAATTATTATACAATTCAGTCACTTTTTCATACTTACAATCTGTATAATCACAATTCCTCAGCATTTTTCAAACACCTATCCACAAAAAATGAATGTTTTGTTCTTGCCTTCTTTGCAGCTGGTTTAAAAAATGATGTAATTGGTGCAGTGTTTTTTGTTCCATTATCCTCATCCTCTTCATCGGACCTAAAAGAAAAAAGTTATATAATGTTTTTCACTGATTCACCTTATGACTAATCAGGTTTCAAACTAGAGTTATTTAGAGGACAAAAAGGTAATGCTGATTTATTTTAAAATATATATTTTTTACATGATTTTATAAATTATATCATTTATTGCAGCCAAAAAAAGATTTTTAATTTTAAAGAAATCTACCATTTGTGAGATCTACCGCTAACTGCTTCCTTCACTTCATTGAATATGGCTTGGTCCTTCTGCCATTGAGAGTTATGTTCTTCTAGTAGTGGAAAACAAACAGTAACATTTAAGCATTATGACTAGTGATGTAAAATACCTGGGTATTTAAAACTCGGGGTAAATACCCAAAATTCATAAATACCCAGGTATTTTGGGTATTTATGAAATTGATTGAAATTCATTTATATTTACCCCTAAACATGTTATTGTTATCATTATATGATAAATTAGGATAGTCTATAACACCTTTTACAGTAACTTGAAGCTTTGCTAGTACCTTTTATTTAATGATTTAGCACTTTTTTTATAATACATAAAGTTTATAAATAAGCATGAGGTTTTGTGTCTTAAATCGAGTAACATCAGTTAAATTTAACTTACTAAAAAATAGTATATTAAAAAGGTTGTGGCTATTTCAATTTTTACCATTTTATAAATTTATAACCAATTAAATAACATAAACAAAATTATTTTAATTTATAAATATCCAGGAATTGTTGGGTATTTATGATGCAATAATATCAGTTGAACTTGCCATGAATAGTTTTATTAGCAAGAAACTAAACACTACTTATGAAATGAAATCAAGGCAACACCTCATCAGAAAATAGTGAACCTAAACCTACTTCTACTGTATTAAATAATGATGGTTAAAATTGTTATTGTATAAATGGCTTGGAAGGCTAGACAGACCTAAGGCCTGATTGACATAGGCCGAATGACAGAATACTAAAAGTAATTAAACTTTTCTGTGTAGCCGCTTAGTTGGAAACAATAATATATTTGGATAAAACTACTAAAAAAATGTATCTCCTGTTTTTTGGTCTAACTTAATATAATTTTGAAATATTTATTGTGCTATAGATTCAAATGTTTTGTATCACAAGTTTATGAAATTAGTTTTTTTATTTTGATACAATTATTGATACCAACAAAAGATCTAGAACCAAAATATTATTAAATCCTGCCATCCTACAGATTGAATTTTAATTATTTTCTTAAGTTGTTTACACATAGGCCACTACTAGGTTAAATTTTCCTGTCTTTCTAAATAATAATTATTACTTTACAAATTATTTTTCTTCACTTTTAATAAAATAAATTCATCTATCTATTATAGAAATTTAAAAAAATCATAAGTAGTCAGGACCAGTGCAACCATGCGACAAGGGTATTTATGCCGATTATGCTTTATGCTCAGACCCATCAGCTTTATTTATGGTGATTATACCCAGAACTAAAATGCTAGTAGTGACCATATGAAATGTTGTTTAACACATTTTATCATCATTTTACTATACTTACAGGGTATTAATTGTAAAAAAAAACATCTCAATCTGCCCCAAATTTAGTAAAAATTATAAATACCCAGTTTTTGGGTATTTACCCGGGCCTGGGGTAAATACCCAATTTATATTTACCTTCCCACTGGGTATTTACCCGGCCCACATCACTAATTATGACAATTTTAATTATGAACTTTCAATTGTGATTAACTATCTTTATGAATATATTTTCTACAATGTATGTTTTGCCAGACACTCACCAGTCCACTTGCACTGCGTGTTCGTCCAAAAGCTTCTGAGCCGTGGACCAGCTGAACCTAACCAGCTGAGTGAACCCAAACACAGGGTCTATTTTGCTTTTGAGGAACTTCACTGTTTCCGGATCTGTAACATGTAAAACCCAATTGCATACAATATATTATTATAAGCATAACTTAAGTATCTTGTGTTTATTTTAAGATTAAACCCATAAGATTTTAGATTAAAACTGTTTGATAAAAATAAATTCAACTTACTAGTCAAAGCTCATTTAGTAGCTCTATTTTTAACCACTGAATGAAATAAAAATATATACCGGTAGGCTATAAAAACTTAAAGTACCCCCGCCGCAGCAAACCTGCAGACTAAGCGAATTTCCATATGCCTGATTGGATTTACACTCAAAGGTCTCCTTAAAATTATCACATTTATTCCCTATTTCAATATAATTAGATTAACGAGTAGGCTACTTAGGTTTGCTGCAACAGAGAGGATAAAAAAGCGTTTTTTGTTGTAAAATGTTAATACTGTAGTTTAGTAAGAAATGAATGTATTTTCAAAATTTGATCAAAATATGTTCATAAAGAAGCAAACTACAACAGTTGACTTATTCTCCATTCCATGAGAATAACATAAGAATTTTGAATTTACAATTTTTTGGAATTTTCTCCGTTACCTTTAGGCGCATAATAACGCTTCAATATACTAAATTATTTGTTTTTTAAGCTCTACAAAATGTTTTGGAAAGAAATTGTGAAATTTTGTGTTTTTATGGTCAAAAATGGGAAAAACCTATTTTTACCCTCACCCCATAAAACCCCCCATAAACCCCTGTTCCCATAAATCATCATCCCTAAATGGAAAATTCGCTAAAAGGATAAAATAACTTTGCTTGTATAAATAAAGAATTTTAAAATGGCAACAGAATAAATATTTTGAACAGTTATTGAAATTAGAAAGAAAAGAATATTTAAAAAATGGTTTTTTTGAATTTTGAAGCGTTGAGGAAAAAAAACTTTGCTGCATGAACAAAATTTTTTAAATGTAAAATTCAAGATACACAAAATGTTTGGAATTTATTTTCCTATATGGAAGTGTAAAAATATTTCAATAACTTTTTTTTAAAGTTATGACCCAAGAAATGGCGATTTTGCACAACAAATTTACTAACAAAAAAACCAAATAAATGTGTTCTCAAGAAATGTACTAAAAGTACAAATTTTTGAAAAGTTGTCCTGAAGGGTGGGACAATCTCAAACAGGTCAGCAGGACCGGGAAATGATAACACATCGTAACTGACTCACCCTGATTTATTAAAAGAAAAACAAATACCCTTTTACAAACTGGTTCAAACCATAAATGACAAATTTACTACAAGTACGACAAAGGCGTAGGCAAATTTCTAAATAATTAATACACCTGAAAAGCCAAAATGTGAATTACTTATCAACTAAAACCTTTGTTTCGCCAACCTTAACACAAGACGAGATTTTGGGCCCAAAACTCTTAAAAGATACAAATACTTAAATAAAATTACAACCTGCAATAAAGAAACTAACTATAAATCTAAACAGTAATTCCTGGGACACCAAGTCTGTGCTGTAACCTATTGAAGCTTGGCCAAAAATTTATAAAAGTTAAAGTTAAGTGAAATTTAATCAAAACATCTTTTAATTCTTCCCAGTATGGGTTTACAGAATAAAATTCAATATAAAATGAGTTAAAGTTAAAGCTAAAATTCAGAACAGATAAAACAGTTTAACGTTACAAGAATCTCTACCAAAAATTCGCTGGAAATCACCAAGTTAAAGTTAGGCCAGAAATAATAACCAAAATTTATAAAGTTGTATACATGAAGTTAATTTGAGTCCATGGGTGCACCCCCTTAAGTTCAAATAGGCCTAGGCCTAATTTAGATTTCACTTTGAAAGTTGTAGATCAGTCCATCCGCTGAAGCAAAATAATTTCCAAAAAGGTTAGAAGTCACCTGAGTATCGAGCAATTTTGAGGTGTGTTGGCGAGGTGGACAGAAGTAGGTAGTCCCCCATGGATGTACTCTAGCGTTGAAAAACTCCAGGTCTGACAGACTCAAAAGGGTCCTCGCCCTCCAACACAGGGTAGACAAGAGGTTCCTCTAAAGTGGTGTTGCTTTCCCATACCCAGGTGTCTAGGCTAGTAGGCCTGCGGCTTCAAGTTAGTTCTACGATGACCTCAGCGTGTTCGTCCCAGGAAGTCGAACCCCTGTTACGAAAAACTTCATACATAGTAATCTGTATACAATAGGTCTAAGTTTTAAATGAAAGTGATATTCGTTACATCTTTAACACTCAAAATTTGAGATTCATTTAGTTCACATTACATGTTAGAACATTTTTATATTTAAAGAAAATAGCTACATACAATTGGAAATAAAGCCTACTAAAACCAAATTTGATTTGACAAAGATAAGTTTCCTTTTTTTTACAAGTGTTTCCATAATAGGCCTAAGTTGTATAACTCACTATTTTTTTTTATTTTTTTATTTTATTAAAATTTACAAAATTTATAGAAACCAAAATATTTATGCTTGTGTGAAACAATAACAGTGTTTTTCCTTTATCTGCAAAACCAAATCGACACATGTGCCGTTAACCAGTCATTGGATCTGGTAGGCCTAGCCTGCAATCTTTAGTCCTATCCTTCCAGCTAACTAAAAGACCAGAAATTAAATTTATCTTAAACACAGAGCCTCCTGGATGTCTGACAAAGTTACAGCAATGCAATAAACAATAATTAATCGTTACTAGATACCAATACAGAGATTTCTTTCAAAAATATACCTGCCAAATAATTCAAGTGTAGGCCTAGGCTAGTGGGTATGATACAGTTTATTTTATACTCATTAAACAAAGGAAAAGAAATTTTACAAGTCAGGGATTAAAATGAGATTAACAGAACTTTTGAATCTTAAAAAATGTGTAACATTTTAACAGGTATGAAACTTCCTACCGGCGAAACGAACTAATCAGCATTTTTCTCTGAGTCAGTTTTGAGATCTTAATTAGTAGTTAATACAAATTCAACTTACCATTATAATGGGGTTGTGGGTGAGTCAGTCAAACATGAAATTTAAAATGATATCACTCAAACATATTTAAGTAAAGAAAATTCAAAAGACTTTGGTAAAAGTTCTAGAGTGACAAAACGACATGATTCTTCACTGCAAGATGGCGAGGCAAGAGAAAAAGAAACCGGGACGCCGACTCAACTAACGACTGAAACCAAAACCGAAACTTAAACAACAGTAACGGATTTAAACATAGTCAAACGACTGGAAAAAGTAACACAAAATTAATATCGTCCACCAACATGATTTCCAATACGCCTTAAATTCTAAAACAAAGTAATATTAAATATCTCAAACAAATAAACTTCCACTTGATTTCCTATAACGTTGTCAATTTTCGGGTTGTCATTGCCGATGCTCCCAGTTCTACCACACAAGCAAAATAAAATCTCAGAAACTGGTGTTCTCGCACTATAAGAATGTTTTAGAGAAAACTCTCATCATTGATTAAGTTCTCTTATGACCCAAAAAACTGGTGACGGAAAAAATTCAAAAATTTCTGGTGAATTTCCGGCACATACTCCCTCCTCCAAAACAATGAACCCCGGTTCATTGAAACCTATGAAAACTTAAATTCTAAATACTAATATCTACTGCCATGGTCTTTTATAGTTTTTCATCGATGAAATAATTTTTATTTACACATTTGTAGTACTACTTTCTTGTCTCGTTATGCCTGCATAACGGAAATTGTCTGAGCCGGGTAAATAATGAAAATAAGAAGTTGATCAGGCTTCTTATCTTACATATAAGTCCAAATAATAAACACTTGTTTGTACCTAACCATTGTTAGAATTATGGTAACACTTCAAATGAGAGACGTGACTTTTCCTGTAAACTCGGTTTGTTTTCATGTCCCACAGTTCCGCGGTAACTGGGGATAAGAAACGTATAATCCTAAACGGTCCCTTCCACCTATAACTGAGTTTGGCAGCTACTTTGTCCTTTCCTCTACTTTGTGGAAAATCTTTGCACCACACCAATTGTCCTACTACAAAAGGGGAATCTCTATGTTCTCTGTCATATTTTACTCTGACCCTCTCATGAGCCCTGACTAGATTTCTTTTAGCCCGAAGCCAATGCTCTTTAATTTCTCCAGTTGTTGGTCTGTCCGGTAGCAGTGTGTCGATGTTCCAGAGATTGGATAATGGGTAGTTGGGTCGGAAACCAAACATCAGTTTGAAAGGTGTGTCGTTATTGGCTTCATGTACGGCTGAATTGAAAGCCAACTCCAACCACGGAATATTCTCATCCCACCTGTTTTGACTTTCAGCGTGGAAAGCGATTAGTGCAGATCTTAAATTTCTGTGAAAACGCTCAACTTGGTTACCATGTGGCCTATAAGGGGAGGTAGTAATATGTCGTATCCCATGAGTGAAACAGAAATTCTTAAAAAGCTTGCTAGTGAAAGGCGTGCCATTGTCTGACACAATCCATTTTGGATAAGAGAAATGCTGGAAAAGTCTCTCCTTTAGAGTCCGACACGCAATCTCAGCTTTAGCCTGCCTAATCGGGAAAATCCAAACAAATTTACTGAAAGAATCTGTGGCTGTCAATAGGTACTGGTTTCCTTGCCGACTCCTAGGGTAAGGGCCAACAAAATCCACATAAATCTTCTCCATTACATAATCGGAAACATCTGACGCCAACTTTCCTATGTGAGAATCTTGGGCAGGTTTACTCAAACTACAAATTTCGCATCCTTTTACTCGTTCCGCTACCTCATCACGCCAATTCGGCCAATGAAAGAATTCTCCTATCTTTAACGTGGTTTTGTGCTTACCAAGATGTCCTCCTACAGCCGAGCAGTGAAAATAATCAAAAACCAAAGGTACCAAACTCAAGGGCAATTCAATTTTCTTAATGCCTTTTCCACCTTGCCAATACAAAATTCCCTTGTTCAACGTAAACGCCGGAGGGGCATTTCCTTCTTTTACTCTCTCCACAATTCTTTGTATTTCCTCATCTTTCCGCTGGTGTGAAATCAAATCAGAAAAGGCCAAAGGAAAATCTACCAACA